GCGCCGGGCCGCCGTACCACGGTTCGAGCGCGCCGAGACTGTAGTTGTCGGTGCACCAGGCGACCTTCTCGCCGGGAAAGAGCTGCTCCTCCTTCTCTACAATGACGACGGGGAGGCGGCCGGCGCGGTTGCACTCGCGCGTGTACTTGACCAAGCTCTTGCACTGGCGGAGCGTCGGGGCGGCGTGTTTCGCCCACTGAGCGTTGCCAACATCTTCGCCTTCCCACACGAACCGCTTTGACCCCTCGAAGTCCTGCGGGCTGTCGTACGGCAGCGTCATGCTCGCGGCCGCAGCGCGTAAATTTTGTGTCACGCTCAAAATTTTCACGCGCAGCAACTTCTTGACAAGACCCACACGTATATAGTGTGGAAGATGTTGGAGCGCTGCTTAGTCAAATGCTTCTGCGTTGTTTTTTTGACAAGAACGGGCCCTGCAGCGTAGCTGACTTCCGTTTTCACCACCCAAGACAGCTCTCCAGAGCTCCCGGTCACGCAACATTTCGTAACGATGGTCGCTATTGGCCATCTGCCTCCTGCAGCCTCTGTTGGGGCGGAATGCGCGGGGTTTTCGGCGCGATGCCTCCGGCTAGTACACGGTACTGCTCTGCCGCAAACTCTCCTGCGCTCGCGTGACGTGTGGGGCGCACGCACTGCGCTCAGAAAGTTGCGATTTGGCAATAGGCGCTCGAGCCGGCGCGCAGTGGAGGGGGCGCCGCGCAGGGGGATCGGGGGGGGTGCGAGAGGGGGCGTGGGTCGGGCGCGCACCGGCCGGCTCCGGGAGCGGCCGTCACGTCGAAGAGGGGACCTGGTGCTGCTCGAATGACGACGCATGCCGCTCTGCTGCGCCGCCGATAGCCCCTCTTCCGAGCCGGCGCGTGGCGGCGAGCTGCGGCCAGTATCGCTGGTGCGGTGGAGGCGGCAGCTTGCATCGGCCAGCAGCGGGTGCGGCCATCACGTCGATGAGGGGGGGTTGTCGGCGACTCGTGTGGCTCGAGGCCTACACTGCGCCGCCCAAGCCCTACTGCCGATCCAGCGCCTGGCGTTTGGGGCGAGCCGCGGTCGTCGTCGCTGATGGTATATGGCGGCGGCGGCGGCGGCTCGCCCTTCCCTCCGGCCGCAATTCCGATCCCGCCGCGCTCGCGGGAGGTGGCGCGCCCACCGCGGCACGGCCGTGCCCGTGGCTGCGCATACACCTTACGCCCTTTCTCCTCAACGGCTATCCGTGCTTGCTGTGCCCCTACGTGGTGTGTTTCAAGTTCTTACAACCCAAGGTGATAGAGGGCAAAAAGATCGATTGCGCTCTTGCCGATCCGCACCTACCAGGCTCTTGCACGCGCCCCCCCACAGCTCTTCACAACGAACCTGGTCTCCTTCGACGCGAGGCTCTACTTGCGCCGGAGCGCGAGCTCGCGTGAGCTGACGATGAGGTTTCTCCTGCTCTCCTGCCTTCTGCTCGGTGCGGTATCACTCTCGCCGCCCAGCCACGCCAGCCGGCAACACGCCGGCCCACTGCGGCGGCCAGCCGTCCGCACGCCGCAGCCAGCTCCGCGGGTGGCGTCGGCTCGGATGGTGGCGTCGGACGACGGGCTCGCGGCCGGTGCCCGGCGCGTGCTCAAGGTGGCCGGCCAGTCGGCGCTGCTTTCGCTCGCACTGCTGCTCCCTGGCCGGCTGGGCGCGCCCGGTCGCTCCATCTCGCTGCAGCGCGACGTGTGGGCGGCACCGGCGACCGCCGTGGCGGAGGAGTGGGTGGATATCCGCGACCTGTCGCCGGCCGAGCTGAGGGAGGAGCTGGCGCAGCGGGGGTATGCCACCAGCGGCTCCCGCAAGGACCTGCTCATGAGGCTGCGCGGCGCGCTCGATCTCGAGCAGGCGGCAGAGGCCGAGACAACGCCCGCCGCCCGCCGCAAAGGCCCGCCGCGGATCGTCGTGTGGGTGGGCAAGGGCGCGGCGACGGTGGTGGGCGCCTCCGTCGTGGGTCGCGCCGCGATGGGCGTCTGGGGCATCAAGCGCTCGCGCGAGCGTAAGCGGACGCAGGCGCTGCTGGATGGGCTCGGCAAGGCGAGCGCGCCCGCCGCCGAGACCATCGTGGACGTGGACGCCCTCGCGCCGCCGCCTCTCGGCGCGCCTCCGGCCGCCGCGCCGCCGCTCGCCGTCGCTCCTCCCCCTCCGCCGCCGCCGCCGCCGGCCGCCCCCAAGCCCAAGGGCGTCATCGGCAACCTCTTCAAGAAGGCGGCGGCGTCCAAGGTTCCGACGGTCGACGAGCTGTGCGCCGGCGGCGGCGACCAGGCGGAGCTGTGCAAGACCATCGCGTGGGCGTTGCGCGCACCGGTCGACGTTGCTGCGGCGGCGCAGCGCGCCGCCGCCGCCACCTCGAGCGACGACCTCGACGGCCCCTCCTCGCTCGCGCTCGAGATTCTGCAGGTGGTGGGCACACTTCACGCACTCACGCATTCACGCACGCACTCACTCACGCACACAAAGGCACACACGCACGCACGCACACATACACGCACGCACGCACGCACACGCACTCACTCACACACGCACACTCACGCACACACACACACGCACACGCACCCACCCACTCACTCACACAGACACCACACACACAACTTTGTCTTCTCCATTCACAGCTCTAATTCACAGCTCTCTCCTCTCCGCAGGTGCTCGGCGAGGCGCGCAACGCGACGCTCGGCGCGGGCGGCGCGGGCGGCTCGCTGACGCGCGGCGAGGTGTTGCCGTGTGCGCGGAGCGGTGAGCGCCGGGACGTGTCCACGACATGTCCGGAGCACGCCCCGCAGGTGGTGGACTGCACGGAGCGGGTCGGGAGAGCGATGCTGCTCGAGCGAATCGAGGGCGCGGCGGCGGTGCTCGACGACGAGGTTCGCCGAGTCTGCGCTCGGGCTGTACCGACCTCGGCTCATCTCGGGCAATCTCGCCTGATCTCGGGTGCTCTCAGGTTCGCTTCGCCGAGTCTGCGCTCGGGCTCTGCCGCTTCGTCAACAACGCAGGGGTGGTAGCGACCGAGTTGGGCGTCGCGGCAGATATCGGCGAGGGGGGTCGAGCGAGGGGGCGGCGCCCGAGATGAGCCGAGATGAGCCGAGATGAGCCGAGGTTGTAGGCGAGGTCCTGTACGAGGGGGCGGTGCCGCGGCGCAAGCTCGAGCGCATCTACACGTCGGCGCTCACTCTCGCCGCGCCCGAGCTGCTGTCGCAGATGGGGATGGGGATGGGGATGGGGATGGGGGAGGAGAACGCGACGGCCGACGCGCCGGAGGCCGTGGCGGGCGTCGACTTGGAGACGGTGGCCGTGTGATGGCGCCGTTGCTCGAGGTCCGACTCAGATTGATTCAAGGAGAGGGAGGCGTGACTGGTTAGGTGACCATGATGGCGCCGCTGCTCAAGATCCGGGAGCAGAAGGCGGAGAGGCTGATGCAGGAGACGATGCAGCGGGTGATGACGGCGATGATGGGAGGCGACGACGGCGACGCCCCTTCGGGCGCGCAGATGGAGCAGGCCGTCGGGGATGCTCGAGGCTAACGAGTATGACTGCTTCTTCTGATCAGTTCATCGTTGATGGAGCAGGCCGTCGGGATGCTCGAGACGCTCGTCGAGTCGGGCGCCGTGCCGCCCGAGGAGCTCGAGTCTCTGCGCGGGATGGTCTCTCCAGATCTCCCCATATCTCCCCAGATCTCCCCATATCTCCCCATAGGAGCTCGAGTCTCTGCGCGGGATGCTCTCGCAGTCGATGGGCATGCCGGTGGAGGAGATGCTCGAGCGGAAGGAGGAGCTGATGGCGCGGCTGCCCGCCGAGGGGAAGCCCGTTCATGACTTGATCGCTGTAAGCTGTCTCTGATTGGTTCGCAGGAGCAGCTGCCCGCCGAGGGGAAGCGGCTCTTCGCCGTCATCGACAAGCTCTTCGGCGCAGGGGCAAAGGGCGGCGGATCCGCCTCCGGCGGCGGCGCGGCCCCCGCCGCCCCTGCGCCGCCGCCCGTTGACGAAATCGTCGACGACCCGTCCGCCGCGGTCACAATCAAGCCGGGCGCGCTCTCGCCCGCCGCCGCCGCCGCCGCCGTGGAGCCCTCGGCGGCGGCCAACGTCCAGGTCACAGTCAAGGTCAAGTCGGACACGCCGCCGCCCGCGCCGCCGCCCGCGCCGCCGCCCGCGCCGCCGCCCGCGCCGCCCTCCGCCGCGTCCGCCATCAGCGAAGTGTCTGGGGAGCCGATGTCGGCGGAGGAGTTCATCGCATCCGTCGAGAGCTCCGCGCAGCAGCAGCAGCAGCAGCAGCAGCAGCAGCAGGCCCCCGCCGAAGGCGACGCCACTTCCGGCACCTAATGTCGCGCAAGGAAGGCAGGAGGCGGGTGGAATGAGGTGCGAGGTGTGGGATGGAGAGGTGGGCGCGCTGACGGCGCGCCTAAGTGCTTGGTGCCACGTACGCCGCGGCGGTACTCTCTCGACCGGAATCCGGGTCTCTCGCGGTGCAAAGGCCGTGAAGCGCAAGAGAGCGGGAGAGTTGAACTCACTCTCGTGTCAGATTCATATCTCGCGGGCAGTGTTCCTGCAGTGCTGTGTACCAGAAACGAGAAAGAGCGATGCGAAAAGAACTCGGCCGATGAGGACTCATTCACTCAAAAATATACGGCTCTGACGGAGCTCTTCTACGGGGTGCGTGTGGAGGGTGAGTTGAACAGGGGTTGTGCGCCAAGCCCTCCTGCTCGGCTCCAGCCGGTAGACAAGTCTTGTCATGGATCTGACCTCGGGGCCGATGTGACCAAGCGCTAGTACTACCTACCTCTCTCTTCCGGTTCCGCGCGCTCGCGCTCTGGCCTCATGCCGCTCTCAGTAGACAGTACGGCTTTACTCAGACAACCCCGGTGTGACGGTCTGCGAGCGAGAGTTTTTGAGAGCTTCACACCCCGGTTAAAATGAAAAAATCGTGTCTCTGCTGAGCCTGTCTCTCTCTCTCTCTACTCTCTCTCGCTATATAGTCTATTCGTAAGCGCGTGCGGATTGGTAACTTGTATAACACGGTCTCACGGTGCACACCTTCCTTCGCCATGGCCAAACGCCAAGGCAGGGGGAAGGCATCGCCCGCATCCCGCTTGAAAGCAGACAGGGCGAGGAGAGGTCTCCCGCCAATCGTCATCGATCTGTGACTTGATGTGCGTGAGCGTGTGGTGCAGAGGCCTGGCCGTGGGCGCGCCCCCCGTCGTGCGGCTCAGCTGGCTCGAAGCGCCGGAGCGCAGCGGGTCTTCAGGCGCGGCGCGCCCGCTTGCTGCCCTCGAGGTGCTTGCCCTCGGTCTCGTGCGCCAGCGCCGCCTCGAGCTGGCCCGCAAAAGTGGCCCACCGGCTGAAGAAGGCCTCCATGCTCGTCTTGGCCTCCTCGGCGAAGAAGGCGTGCGTCGCGACCAGCGCCGCCTGCATCGCCTTGAGCTCGTCGCACAACGCCTGTCAGTAATGAATCACGGCTCGAATGCTTGTACTGCTGAGGCCTTGAGCCCGTCGCAGGACGCCTCGACGCGCGGCTCGACGCTGTTCACAAACGGCTCGAGCACCTCGACCAGCCGGTCGGCGCCTCCGTCGGCGGCGGCGGCCGCAGACGCGGAGCGAGATGCGCGCGAGTGGAAGGAGAGCTCGTCCTTGACGGCGGCGAGGGAGCCGATGAAGCGCCCCGCCTCGTCCGCCACCTCCGACATCGAGAGGCGCGCCGCCGCCTTGATGCGTTGCCAACGACTCGTTAGCATTCATTAACGAATCTCCATCATCGAGAGGCGCGCCGCCGCCTTGACGCTGCCGAGCTGCTGCGCCAGCCGCTCGAGGGCCGCCCACCCCTCCTCGCTGGCGGCGGCGCAGTGCTGCAGCGCCACGGCCAGCAGCGACGACGGCGGCGTCGAGTTTGTGCGCAGCTCCGCCAGCCGCGGGAGGGCGTCTGTGCGGAAGCCCTCGGCCGAGCCGCGAAAGGAGTTTCCGTTGAGGGCGTTGCCCAGCCAGAGGGTAACGCCGAGCAGCCGCCGCAGGTCCGCGGAGTTGCACAGCGTGCCGCAAGCCGCGCTGACGGCAGCGACGTCGCACGCCGCCGCCCGAAGCGAGCCCTCGAAGCGGAGCAGGTAGGCGAGGCACTCGAGCCGCTTCTGCAGCCGCGGGACGGTGCCAACCTCGGCGACGAAGCGCTCCGCGAAGCCGAGCGCGGCGGTGGGGACGCCCGCATTCGCCACGAGCTCGAGCTCCTCGGCCGAGGGGACGCACTTGAGGAGCGCGTTCACCGAGTCGAGCGGCAGCGCGGCGGTGTCCATGGCGAGGACCGCGCGCCGCATCGCGTCGAACGGGAGCTTGACCGCCGACAGGATGATGCCCAGGTTGTTTGCGCGCTTGGGGTCGAGCAGCGTGACCTGCTGCCACACCCGCAGCTGTGAAGAGACGCTGCAGAGACACACTCACGCCTCGAGACCCCGGCAGCGTCACCGCGCTCTCGCCGCGTGCGGTTGCGGGCGGCGCGCCGGCCGCGCCGCCGCGCCCGGCGCTGGCGGCGGGCTTGGCCGCCTTCTTCCCGCCGGGCGGCATCACCGAGAAGAGGTCGGCCACCTGCGGGGCGAGAGGTGCGGCGAGAGGTGCGGCGAGAGGTGCGGCGAGAGGTGCGGCGAGAGGTGCGGCGAGAGGTGCGGCGAGAGGTGCGCCCGAGGTGCGCCCGAGGTGCGCCCGAGGTGTCAGCCGAGGAGAGGCAGGCCCCACCTGCGCGGCGAGCTGGTCGGCGTCGAGTGGCAGCGGCTCCGCGCGCACCGCGTCCCACACCGTCCCTCCGATCCGGTTCTTTGGCACCTGGGCGAAGGGAGATTGGCCGAGATGTGGGCGAGGCGTGGGCGAGGTCACGCCGAGATCTGTGGCCGAGTGTCTGTGCGCGCCGTGCTCCCCCACACCAGCGGACGCCAGTGGCTTGAGCTTCGCTGTATATCGGCTGTATCTCGGCTGTATCTCGGCCACATCTCGCGCTGCACCTTGCTCCACACCAGCGGCTTGAGCTTTGGCCCCTTGGCGCCGAGGCCGCCCTTGCCCTTTCCGCCGGCCGGGGGCGGCGGAGGAGGGGGAGGAGGCGCGGGGGCGGGCGGCGGGGCGGCGGGCGGCGGAGGCACCGCACCGCCGAGCGGCGGCGGCGGCAAGAGCCCCAGGGAGGACGACCCTGGCAGCGGCGGCGGCGCGAGCGGCGGCGCGAGCGGCGGCGCGAGCGGCGGCGCGGCAGAGGCACCTCCGGGGGGCGGTGGCTGGAGCGGCGGCGGCTGGAGGGGCGGGGGAGCCATCGGGAGCCTTGCGGCGAGCGACTCGCGCAGCGCAGAGACGTTCACCGCCACCTCCGCTTCCGCCGCCTCCACCTCCGCCGCGCCGGGCAGCGGGGGCTCCTCCGCCGCACCGGGCAGCGGGGGCGCGGCGGCCGACACTGCACCGGGGAGCGGCAGCTTGCCCGCCAGCGACGCGCGGAGGCGCGAGACGTTGACAACGACGTCCTCGTCCTCGTCCTCGTCCTCGCCCTCCTCCGGCACCGCGGCCGGCCCGACAGCGCGGGGCAGCGGGACAGTGTCGCTCCGGGCCAGCGGCGGAGGCGCGCCGGATGAGGATGCCGCGACGGCGACAGCAGGCTCCGCCTCAGAGGCCGACGCGTCCGCTTCGGAGGAGGGCTTCGGTGCCGGTACGGCCTGCGGCGGGCCCATGGGGATCCGGCCGGCCATCGAGGCGCGAAGGGACGCCACGGTGGTCGACACCTCGGCTTGCTCGGGCTGCGGCGGCGGCAAGCTCTCGGGCCTGGCGGGGCGGGTCGGGATAGCCGGCAGCTTGTACACCTTGCTGTTCGCGTCTCCGGCGGAGAGCTTCAGCTCGGATTGCGGCTTTGCCGGCGGCCGCGCGCTCAGCGTGGAGAGGTTGAGCGTGATGTCGTCGTCGCCGGGCACAATCTGCGCGAGTGCGCCGCCGCCGGCGGAGCGCTGGCGAGCGCTCCGCTTGATGAAGATGCAGTCGCCTTCGTCCTGCACGCGTGGGCGGGGGGCGGGGGCGGGTCAGGAGTTGGGACTGGGAACGGGCCACAGATACTGGGCCGCTGGGCCGCGACCTCGAAGTCCATGGCGTTCAGTTCAAGTGAGGGCTCAAAAATTCTTTTTATTTCATGTGAAGGGCAGACCGGCAACGCCGTCCGAGCCTGACTGTTCTTCGACTCAAGATCTATCTATCCGGAGCTGCGTCGGCGAGTTCGTCCGTCTCGGAGGGGATTCATCGTCCTAGCTCCTAGGGCCGCCGCCGCTGCGCGCCGGAGGCTGGAGGGCCGCTCTCCGCATCCCAGCGCTCTCTCGCTGGGCGCCGCCGCCGCTTCACCCGCCGCTTCTCGTTCCACGCAAGCGCGCTTTCGCCTTTGCTCCACCGCATGGAGAGAGGGCGGGAGCAGACCCCCCCCCCCCCCGGCCCCGCCCCCGCCCCCTCACACACACCCCGCCCCCTCACAGACACGCCGTGCGCTGCGGTGCGATGGCGCGCGCCCCTCTGTCCCGCGCGAGCGGCGCACTCTCCGGCGCACTCCCCCTCCCGAGGCCGCGCGCGGCGACGGCGCCGCCGCCTCGACTCGCGCGCCTCGCCGCGAGGCAGCCCACGACGAAGGCCAACGCAAACGCGGCGGCGGCAGCGGCGTTGGACGCCGTCTGCTGCCCTCGCGTCCGCACGGCCGCGGTGGCGTTCGCACCGCGGAGGCCCGCGCCCAGGGGCAAGTAGCGGCGATGCGCCGCGACGCCCTCGCAGTCGATCGCGACGTCAAAGGTGATGGAGGGCGGCGCGGCGGCGCCGCCGCCCTCTCCCGCGTCGCTCGCAGCCTCAGCCTCGCTCGCAGCCTCAGCCTCGCCTCGCGCGGGCGGTGCCGGTGCCGGTGCGGCGAGCGGGTGCTGGAGGTACGAGTAGACGGAGCAGTTTGCGCCGCGCGCCACGAAGCGCGCGTTGAGCACCGACGAACGCCCGCGCGAGGCCCACCTGGAGGGGGAGGAGGAGGCGGCGGCGGCGGGGGCTCTGGGAGGAGGAGGCGGCGGGGCCAGGCTGTGTGAGAGGGAGGAGGTGGGAGGAGGTGTGGCCAGGAGAGGTGCTGCTGGCTGCTGCTGCTTATGCTGGCTGTTGGCTGCTGCTGTTGGCTGCTGGCTGCTGCTGCTGCTGGCTGCTGGCTGCTTGCTGCTGGCTGCTGGCTGCTGGCTGCTGCTGGCTGCTGCTGGCTGCTGCTGGCTGCTGCTGCTGCTGCTGCTGCCGCCGCCGCCACCGCTGCTGCTGCTGCTGCTGCTACTGCTGCTGCTGCTGCTGCTGCTGTAGCTCGTGGGCTGTGCGATCTGTCGGCGGGCTGCGTGGCTGCGTGGAGTGTGGGGAGTGCTGCGTGGGGTGGGCGTGCTGCTCGAGGCGCGCCATCCCTCCTCGTCCGCCTCCCACTGCGAGTGGACGTGGAAGTCGTTTCCGTCGGGCAGCGGCACGCCAAAGTAGTTGTCGTCGTTGCGAAGGTCGATGTGCATCATGGAGCGCAGGCCGAGCGGCTGCAGAGACAGGGACGGGAGGCGGGTGAGCAGACGGAGAGGGCGAGGCCGAAGCGGAGGCGTGGCGAGCGCAGACGGGTGTCCGAGGAGGCATGTGCGAGAGGCGTTGCTGGACACGTGAGGAGTGGAAAGGCGTGGTCTGGAGGCGTTGCTGGACACGTGAGGAGTGGAAAGGCGTGGTCTGGCCGGTCTAGTGAGCTCTCCTCCACGATGGGGATGTGGACGTCGATTGAGGTGCTGGCCGGGCCGCCGCCGCACTCCAAGTGCAGCTCGTCGAAGCCAGTCCCATAGTCGAGTGCCGCCGCGGCCGAGCGCAGCGGCCAGATCACGCCGATCTTGTAGAAGAGGCCGTCCCAGTCTCCGTCACTCGAGTCAGACAGCCACGGGCTGCCGAGGCAGAGGTCGACAGACGGATCCGCTACGCTCAGTGGCGCGAGCGGTGCGAGTGGCAGCCCCATCGGCGGAGCCGGCGGCGTTTGCCAGTGCTCGGTGGGCAGCGGGAACCACATGAGGCAGAGCAGCACCTTGGTCGGTCTGGGCAAAACCAGGTGCGGACTGCGATTTCTTTTGTGGTCAAAATTCCCTTCCGCCATAAGACTGACGGCCTGGTTGGGATTATTAGCTAGCTCCTTTCCTCCGGCTGTTCCATGTCTTTCCGGCCTAGGCGGGGCGGTGGGCGTGTGCGCGCGGCGCGGTGCGGTGTGAGAAGAAAACGACAAGTAACAAATCTCTCAAAAAAGAAACCATGCTCGCGGTGTCAAGATGGTGTCCGCAGCCGGGGGGGGGGCCGTGCGACACGGCTCGTGCGACAGCCAGCCGCTCTGGAACAAGGCTCGCGCTCGGCGCGTACGGCCTCAAATTTCGCGCCATTCTTCTTTCTGCCTAGCCGCCCTGGACCGGCTGCACGCGTGCGCGAGCGGTGGACCGTTCGCGACGCTCGACGGCGCCGCCACCGGCTCTCGACGCCTGCGCTCGGCGCTCAGGCGCGAGAGCGGCACATGTCTCCCTCTCTCGGCGCCGCATCTATCTCGCCGCTTCCGAGGCCCCCACTCACTCGTGCACGCGGAGTCGAGAGAGCCGTCCCCGCCGCGCAGGTCGTCTCGGGCGCGCGGAGTTTTGCCTCGGTCTTCCGGCGCTCTCCTATTTCGAGGACGTGTGTATGTTGCCCGAGCCGCCACCGCCGCGTGGCGTGATTCGCCCTCGACGTGCCCGCGGACCCTACTTCCCCACCTCCGCACCTGTGCCCCCAAGAGCCTAGTAAAACGAGGAAGAGTGCGAGCAAACTTTAGTCTTGCGCGGTCAAAAATCCTCTTGGGAGGTCATGAGAGCATAGCAGAGAGGCAGGGTGGCGGAGTGCTTCTTCAGGTACACCTTGCTGATGATCTGGTAGTTGCTGGTCCAGCGGAAGGCCTCCCCATCGTTGTCGCTCGTCAGCTTGTAGTACTTGCACGCTCTGTTCTGGTAGCGCGGGCCGTCTGGGGGGGTCCCGTCACCCTTCACCTCACGATACCACCGGAGGGTAAAGAGGCCCTTGGGGTCGTTGATGAAGACCCCGTTGCTGCGCTGACTCATGGAGAGCTGGCGCAGGTACTCTGCGCTGGAGCTGCCCCCCTCCTATGGCGTGATCACGCCGGCAGGGGCGGCCGCCTGGGGAGCGCAGATGGCGGCGCAGGCGGCGGCGGCGGCGGCGGCACAGACGGCGGCGGCCACCCCCACCCAGACGCCGTAGGCATATGACTGTAGGGCCCCAGAAGGCTAGCTGGTAGCTTCATTTGTAGTAGCACAGCCGCCGGTGCTAGAGAGGGGTCCGCAGAGGTGGCGGGCGGGAGGGTTGAGAGAGAGACCCATGACCATCCCATGACTACATGGACATGGACCACACTCACATGTCTTTGCATGTAACTTTGTTATACCCTCAATGGGGCACAAGAAAGAGGCTCTACGGGGTCTGTGTACGGTCTGTGCTGCTGTCGGGCTGTCAGGCTGTCAGCGCTGCTGTCAGGCCACTGTGTGCTGTCGGGCTGTCAGGCAGCTGTCAGGCTGTCACGTTAGGGCCTGACAGCGACGGAACCCCTCGCCTGCCAGACTCTGCTGTCAGGCTGTCAGACACGTGCTGTCAGACTGTCAGAGAAAGTGCTGTCAGCGCTGTCAGGCTGTCGGGCACTGTCAGGCGCTGTCCGGGGGTTGCTGTCAGGCTGTCAGACCAGGGCTCAGGAGCACTGGTAGGATAGGGTCGATTCCGCGTGGTACGGGACCCCTCGATCGTCTCGCCCATCGCGCCATCCACAGGTTGTTGGTTGCTGCCCAGGTCCCGCACTATGTAGTACAATGCCCCGTTCTCTGGATCATGCTTGTTCGGGTACGCGGTTCGCCCGTCTCTGTGTCCCGTCCACGTCGCCCGTCGGCAAAGCCGGACGACCTATGGTGCCACTCGATGCTGCTGCGGCGTTGCGCGTTGCCGTTGGCGATGGGGCTTTCTGCACGCGGATCGCGGTCCCGGCGGGCAGGCGTGGTACTTCAGCCGCGCGGAACTTCCGCACTCCAACCGTTTTCAAAAATCTCTCTCTCCCTCCCTCCCTCCTCAGTGTACAGTGAGCTATGACGTACGACGTTCACAGCGCGAATTTGGCCCCAGCTCTTCGGCTCGCTCCGCTCGCCGGTGAGTTGGTTGGTTGCTGGCAGCACCCCAGCACCGGGGGGTCCTGAGAGCTGTTGGTTGGTGCTCTGTTCACAGCACAGTCGTAGGGAGGAAAATGGTAAAGAACTCGCTCGGAGGACAGTCGCAAGCAGCCTCCCTGCTTCTCACCGTCACTCTACGTCACCTGTCTCACTGTCACCTCTCTGCCTGTCTGTCCATTTCGCAATATCCGTGCGTGCGATCCGGATCCTGCGCTGTGCTTTTGTGTGAATAAGCGATGGCGCCCGACTCGTCCTCCGATCATGTCGATGTCCTAATCGTCGGTGCCGGCCTCTCTGGAATTGGAGCCGCTCACCATCTTCAGGAGCGATGCCCAGCAAAGTCCTTTCTTCTGCTCGAGGCGCGGCACGCCATCGGCGGGACCTGGGACCTGTTTCGGTACCCCGGCGTCCGATCTGACTCCGACATGTACACCTTCGGGTACCGCTTCCGGCCGTGGACGGACGATGTCACCATGGCCGACGGCCCTTCGATCCTAAGTTACATCCGCGAGACTGCCACGGAGGCTGGCATCGACCAGAAGATCCGCTTCGGCCACCGCATGGTGCGCGCAGAGTGGTGCAGCGCCGAGGAGCGGTGGACGGTGTGGGCGGCACGGGAGGGGCCGTCCCCGGTCGGCGGCCAGGTCAAGTTGACGGCCAAGTTCCTCTTCAACTGCAGCGGGTACTACAAGTACGACCAGGGCTTCACGCCACCCTTCCCCCAACTCGGCGACTTTGGAGGGCGGGTGCTGCGCAGTAGCCTCCTCCCTAGCCCTCCTCTGCCGCGCGCACACGGCCAATCGGGAGCATGGCGCGGCCACCTGAGCAGTGACCATGCCCGGGACGCGGCCTCAGGTGGTCCACCCGCAGCACTGGCCGGAGGACCTCGACTACGCGGGGAAGAGGGTGGTTGTCATCGGCAGCGGGGCGACCGCGGTCACGCTCGTGCCGGCGATGGCCCAGCTCGGTGATGAATTATTAATTGGGGGGTACATTATCGTATAGGTCACCCTCGTGCCGGCGATGGCCGCCTCCGCAGCGCACGTCGTCATGCTGCAGCGCTCGCCGACCTACGTCGTCTCCGAGCCGGGGCGAGACGCCGTCGCCCTCTTCCTGCGCCGCTGGCTCCCCGCTTGGCTCGCCGTCTTCCTCACGCGCTGGCAGCGCTGCGGGCAGCTTTCTTTTGACGGCGGCCCTGTCTCTGTTCAGGCTCGCGTACTTGCTCACGCGGTGGAAGAACGTCGGCAAGGCGATCCTCTTCTACTGGCTGTCGCAGACGTACCCCCAGACGGTGCGCGGCTGGCTGCGTGCCTGGGCGCAGGAGCAGCTGCCCGACGGGTTCGCCGTCGACGTGCACTTCAAGCCAAAGTACGACCCGTGGGACCAGCGGCTGTGCGCCGTCCCGGACGGTACGAACACCACGCGGGCCCTCAGCCGTGGCCCCTCCCCGAACACGTGGCCGCCCCTCTCCGAACCCCCCCCCCCCACACCCACCCACCCACCCACCCACCCACCCACCCACCCCCAGGCGACCTCTTCGCCGCCCTGAGCTCCGGCCGCGCCTCCGTCGTCACCGACACGATCCAGCGCTTCACCGCCGGCGGGGTGCTCCTCTCCTCAGGCGAGGAGCTGAAGGCGGACCTCATCGTCACTGCGACCGGCTTCACGCTCCAAGTGATGGGCGGCGCGGCTGCTTGGGCCGTCAAGACTGCGGAGGCTGTGAAGACAGACGACCGCTGAGGCGCGACTGCTGTCACAACAGGCGCGGAGCTCGTCGTCGACGGCGAGCCCGTCGCCTTCTCCGAGCGGATGGCGTACAAGGGCATGATGCTGAGCGGAGTGCCGAACAGCGCGTTCACCGTCGGCTACACAAACTCCTCCTGGACGCTCAAGGCAAGACCTGGTCTCCAGCGCGTCTGCCGCTGCGGCGTGAGCGGCGCCTCTTCACACCTCCAGCCCTCGCCAGGCCGACTTGGTCTCCGAGTACGTCTGCCGCATCCTCAACTACATGGACGCGGGCGGGTATACAGTCCAGGTGCAGCACAGCGGCTCGAGTCCGTAGCGAGTGAAGAGACAGCCCTCTGCTCGGTCCAGCTCGGGCCAGGCGCTGCAGCACAGCCGGCACACGCAAAGAGACAGCCCCGCCCCGCCCCGCCAGAGCGCACCCGCCCCACACAGGCCTTCATTTTAGCCAGCTGGCTCCCCCGACACGAGGTGCCGCGAGCCGACCCGGCGATGGAGCGGCACGCCCTGCTCGACTTTGGGGCCGGCTACATCCAGCGGTCCATCGACGAGCTGCCCAAGCAGGGCACGGCGTGGCCGTGGCGGCTCCGCATGAATTACGTCGCCGACGTGCTCTCCATCCGACCCGGGGCGCTGGCCGACTCAGCGATGGAGTTTCGCCGACCGCACGCCAAGCCCGACTGACCCGCGACCGCGCGCGAGACGACGCCCGAGCGACCCGTGGTACGGGATTGTGGACTGACCGCGGGGTCGGCTCTCTTCTCTCAGAGCACCTCACGGCTCCCTGGAGAGTATTTAAAGCCGTGTCCCGCAGTCTTTTTTCACACATACGCGCACGGCTGCCGCGCAGCTAGCAGAGCCACGAGGCGAGTCTGCAGAGGCGCGCTGACTGGGACGGACCACCAGTAAAATGGCGGTTGTTCGGCGATCTCAACTCCTAAAAGCCGTAGACCAGAGGGAGGTGTAGCTGTAGGTGAGGAAGACGAAGTGTGGAAGATGGGGGCTCTCTCGCTAAGAGAATGGAGTAGAGACTTCGTGCGTGTGGAGGGTTTACACATATACGACATACAGGCCTACCACAACGCACGCTTCATTTGTTTAGAGTATTGGGGTGTATAGTATCAAGTTTGCAGAGAGGGGGAAGACTCAAGTACTGCTAGATCTAGAGCCAGGAGGCAGGAGAAATGGAGTTGCACTTGGAACAAGCCACAAGCGTCCCTCTGCACGGCACGACGCCCGGGCGGTCATGCATGGCGGGTTAGTGCCGGGCCAGTGCCGGGTAATAAACCGTGCCGACCCGTGCTGACCCGCATATACAGTTCATGCGTCATGCGGCGGACTCTGCGGATGCGGCACGCAGACCTTGCGCTTTGAGGTTTGGTCGGACGCAGACCTTCAACGCGTTTGGTCGGACGCTCGTCACTTCGAACCGTCCTTGGATTTACCCAGCTTGCTCTGCGCGTACAAAGAAGGGGCGATGCCGAGAGCAAGAAAGGCGGCGCCCTTCAGCCTGGCAGCCTCCCTGTCCTCCGCCGTGTACTGCTCCTGCACCTCCCGCTCTGCCGCCGTCGAGGCGAGGAGCGGTGAGGGAAAGAGCCCGCTCGGTGCCACGCCGGCAACTCGCACCGTTGATGCCGCGCCGGTAACTTGCACGGCAACCACCTGGGTCGTTTGCACTAGCGCGAGACCCGAGGACGCGAGCACGCCGAAAAGCATGTGTTTATTGTTGTTCGCAACAGGGTTCGGAACTCGTGCGGGGTGGGGTAGGAATTGTGAGCCTGTTTGTCTCGTCCGTGCCTCGCAGGCCGGTGAGATTGCTAGAGGTGGAGCATGCTGCTCTAGCCTCACATATCACTTCCTGTTGTCTGTTGTTTGAGTTGTGCCCTTGTTTGTGCCCTTGGCACCGTGGAGTGCTGGGGGGGGCGACAGGGAGGATGTGGCCCTGAGTTATGTGTACGCCGACTCAGGGTGTGTGGCAGCCAGCTGGCTGTGTGTCTTGTGAGCTTGTTTGTGTCTGTGTGTCGCTCGTGCGTGTCGTCATCATCTGTCTAGCGTCCACCCATACCGCGTTGGTGTCCAGTCCGAGCCTGGCTGTTCTTCACCTTACTACCTACCTACTCTGTGTGTCGCTCGTGCGTGTCGTCATCATCTGTCCAGCGTCCACCCATACCGTGTTGGTGTCCAGTCCGAGCCTGGCTGTTCTTCACCTTGGAGCACGTGCATCTTCTTCAGCCACACTCCATTGACGTTGGGACACACATGCCACGTTCGTCGGCGAGACTGGCACCGGCGGTGGTGGTAGACGTGAACGTGAGCGCGCGCGATTTAGGTTGGTTGACCACCATTCATCTGTGCTCAGCGCCTCACACGCCTTTGACCAGCAGAAGCAGCCGCGTGGGTGGCGCACTGCGAAGCTCGCCTTGTGCCCGCAGAATGACGCGCAGCCCCTCACATCTTTCGGGTGCGCCTGGCGATCTGCAGCGACTAAGCTGCCTGAACTGCAGTGGCCGGGCACGCATCGCCAGCCAAGAAGCGACTGGCGGGGGCACCGCATTGATTGTGTGTATGGGTACAAAGAGAGACGGTTCAACTTGTGTGTGTGTGTGTGTGTGTGTGTGTGTGTGTGTGTGTGTGTGTGTGTGTGTGTGTGTGTGTGTGTGTGTGTGTGTGTGTGTGTGTGTGTGTGTGTGTGTGTGTGTGTGTGTGTGTGTGTGTGTGTGTGTGTGTGTGTGTGTGTGTGTGTGTGTGTGTGTGTGTGAGAGCTCAACTTTGTGGCCGAGAGCCGTTTGTTTTGGTCGTGGAGGTCGTGGAGGTCGTGGAGTTGCGAGTCACGCTCGGACGGACAAAATCGACAACACGATCAAAATCGATGCTAATCGATGCCGTCGCCGGACGCGGCGGCGAGGCACAGGGCGCCGGCGTGGCGCGTCGGCAGGCCCACCACGAGCGGATGCGCGACGAGCGCGCTCGGGAAGCGGCCGCGGGCGACGCGGAGCTTCCGCCGGAGGACGAACGACGCGGTCGAGATGGCGAGCGAGCGCCGCCCACGTGCTGGACAGCGTGGCGGAGGTGGGCCCGAACTACACACGGTTTTGGTTGCTCCTTCCTGCTCTGATTAGACGCCACAAACGGGGCGGTGTCGCAGCCAATCGCCGGGCACACAGGATTCCTACTGCACTTCTCCACTGACAGCATGTCTGATATCGAGTACACGCACTGGCTGCAGATCGAGCGTGGTGCCACCTGCATGGTTGTCGGCTCCGCTGGCCGCAATCCGACCTTCGTTGATACACTTCACAAAGCGCGGAAGCGGGTCGACTCGTGCAGGCCGGGACCGGCGCAGGTGGACGCGGTCGCGGGAGCACGCGCGACGTGCGACGGCATGCTGGAGAGGGTGAAGGCGGCGCTCGAGCGCATCTTTTTAGATGCGGATGCAAGCGGCGCCAAGGCTGCAGACGCCAACGCGCGGCTGCAGGCGGTGGCGAGCGAGAGCGTCGCCAACTTTGCCGCAATCTTCCTCGAGTACAACGCGCTGTGCGAGCGCTCGATACTGAAGCCGATCGAGACGGCGAGCGCTCGTGCGCCGTCTACGGAACTGTCCCGGTGCGGCGCCTGCACAGACACCGACATGTACATGTCGCCTCGTCGCCCCGCGCTCTAGGGTGTGGCCCGGACCTGCCCTCTCGTGTCGCCTCGTGCGGCCGACGACCTCTCACCCCCACGGCGCAGGGACTTTGCACTGCTCAAGAACACGTACGGCGTGGAGCGTGCCTTTCTCTGCGGTACGCTCGCCCTGCCCACACAGGCGCTGCCCAGTAGACCTCTCCCAGACCTCTCCTGGAGCCGTCCTGCAGGCGCGCTCGCCCTGCCCACGGAGGCGCTGTCCGCCGTGCCTCCGCACGCCTCGTCTGCGCTGGTCGTCAACCTGCAGCGGCAGCGCGCCCTCATCGAGCGGATCCAGACCCTCTCTCCGCCGCGCGCGCTCGAGCTCATCGGCGCCGCGTTTGAGCTGACGCCGCCCGAGCTGAGGGACGTCCACAACGAGCTCCAGCGGAGCCTCGACGTCGCCGCCCTCAAGAGCGGCGGCTTGCGCGCGGCGCGGTGGTTCGAGCTCATGACGGCGCACATTGACAAGCTCGAGCCGCCGGCCGGAACGGAGAGCGATACAGAAGACGGCAGCTGCGCCTGTAGGCGCACATTGACAAGCTCGAGGCGCTGCAGGAGCTGCTGCACAACTTCGAGGTGGCCAAAGCTGTCGCCGCCGCTAACTCTGGCCCTGGCCCTTCCCTGACCCTGACCCTAACCCACGATCTCGAGGTGGCCAAGTTGTCGCCGCCGCGTTCGCCGCCGCCCGCCACGTCTCTCCACGGCGTGTTCGCCGCTGTCGGCGGCGGCGGCGGCGACGGCGCGGGGGAAGTGTTTGAGCTCGAGCGATTGGGCGAGGGGATGAGCCGAGACTAGCCGAGATTAGCCGAGATTACGCGAGCGTCTATGAGCGAGCTCGAGCGGCTGGGAGAGGCGGGAGATTGCCCGAGATCGAGGAGCTTCTCCCGCCTCATCCAGGTCAGCGAGTGAGTGACTCAACGGTGTGAGCGGCAGGCGACGAGTTGCGCCGCCTCTCGGGCGACCAGATCAAGGAGATGCTGCTGAGGCGCGTCGCGGCGGCCGCCGCGCCGCCCCCCGGCCTTTCGGCGAGCCAGGCGGCGGCTGGGCCCCCGGCGGGCAGCGCTGCGGCGTCGATCGATGCGGCAGAGGATGCGGAGAGGCAGGCGGAGAGGAGCCGCTTCGCCAGGGCAGCGGCGGTGGTGACGCGCGGCAGCGGCGGCAGCAGCGGCGGCGGCAGCAGCGGCAGCGGTGGCGGCGGCGGCGGTGGCGGCGGCGGCGGTGGCGGCGGCGGTGGCGGCGGCGGCGGCGGCGGTGGCGGCGGTGGCGGTGGCGGCGGGAGCAGCAGCGGCGGCGGCGGCGGTGGTGGCGGCGGCGGCGGGGTGCACCGGATTGCGCTGCCTTCGCTTGCCTTCCGCAACCGGCTGGGGCGGGGTCAGAGCGGCTCCACCTACCTGGCGGAGTGGGGCGGCCGCAGGGTGGCGGTCAAGGTTGCGTGTGGGCGCGAGGATGCGCACACGAGTTGGCAGGTGGAGGTCGGCATGCTGCTGCGCGCGTCCCAGCCGGGCCACCCGAACGTGGTGCGCCTCGTCGGCAATGAATGAAGCTCATTATTACCTGATTGCCTTCCCTCTAGGCCACCCGAATGTGGTGCATCTCGTCGGCGCCGTGCAGGAGAGTAGCCGAGAGTACGCGAGAGTAGCCGAGGGTGGCCGAGAGTACGCGAGAGAGCCCGAGATATCACGGAGATAGCCCGAGTAGCCCGAGAGAGCCATAATGTGGTGCACCGATTGCTCACGGCTCGCGGACTCTCGGGTGATCTCGCGCCCTCTCGTGCAATCTCGCGCCACGTGCAGGAGCAGCTGACCTATTGCGTCGTGCTCGAGTACTGCGACGGCGGCGACCTGCACCAGGCGCTACAGCGGCCCACGCCGCCCGGCTTCTTCCTCCGCGTCGCCGGTGGCGTGGCGACTGGGCTCGCCTTCCTGCACGGCCGCGGGATCATGCACCGCGACCTCAAGTCGCCGAACGTGTTGCTGCACGGCGAGCGCGGCGTCAAGATTGCCGACTTCGGCCTCGCCGCCCTCCGAGGCGATTGCAGCGGCAGCAGCAGCCGGAGCAGCAGCGTCGGCGGCAGCGGCAGCCGCGTGTCGGCCATCGCCCTCACACCTCGGATTAGTCAACTAAGCGCTGGCTAGTAACTCGCAGGCGGCCGCACGTCGACGAGCGCCCTCACGCCCGAGACGGGCACATACCGCTGGTGGCGCCTGTGAGGATGAGTTCTCAATCAATCGTGAGAACGAGTTGATGATAGGCACGTACCGCTGGATGGCGCCCGAGGCTGGGACGCGCGAAAGGTGCTCGGAGAGAGACGAGTGTTTCCATCTTTAGTCGTGACTTGGACGACAGGTTGTGATGCGCGAGGCGTACTCGGAGAGCGCCGACGTGTTTAGCCTCGCCATGATCCTCTTCGAGCTCATCACGCACACCGTCCCCTTCTCCGACCGCTCGGCGCTGCAGGCTGCCGTCTCGATCGGGCTGCAGCGGCTGCGGCCGGCGATGCCGGATGGCACTCCCGACGCGGCGCGAGATCACCCGAGATCATCCGAGACCCCCCGAGACCCCCCGAGATTGGATGCCAGGCGGCACTCCCGACGCGGCGCGAGGGAGCGGGCTTGCGCGCGTCTCCCCCTCGAGACGCGCCCCCCGGGTGGTGCGCCAACAGGTGAGGCTGCTCATCGAGGCGTGCTGGGCGGACGACGGCCGCGCGCGCCCGAGGGCGTCGCACGTCGCGGAGCACGTCGGCTCCATCGAGCTCGCGCTGACTCCGGCGCAGCGCCAGTGGCTCGACTGCCCGGCCGGCCACCGGCTACCGGATGGCGCACCGGCCGTCCTCTGCCGCCCCGGCGCGGCGCTGCTCCGCAGACAGCCGGCGCCGGCGGGAGCCGGCGGGGCGGGCGGCGGGCGGGAGGGCAGGGAGCTCGGCGCGGTGTCCGAGTCGCCAGAGCTGCGGTGACCCAATACTTTTGCAGCGCCCGCGGGGGTTACCTACAGCCTAGGCGAACCCCTATAAAATAGCCATATAGCCACCAGGGGAATGCCAAAAAACTGACAGAGTTAAATCATGCACTACTGGCGCCGCCGAGCGCCCGCGCAACGCCAAGGGCAAGGCCATGAGCTCCGCCTCCGGGCGGACTAGGTCCAGCCCTGGGTGAGGTGGGTTGTGACATTTGGCGAGATTCCGCGGCTTACTGGGCCCCTGAGCTGCTCCCCGTGTGCGATGTGTGGCCCAGGCATGGTTCTGATAGTGAACGGGTCGGACCTGCCAAACACAGGCTATACAGCCCCACACACGCGCCCGCCATAGCTCTTGGAGAGCATGCGTGAGTGAGACGCGCTGCAAGCCGCGAGAGTGGCACAGAATCATGTAACTCGGATTGACGACTCGTTGCTCCGACGCGTCGTGCGTAGCCGCGGGCAGGTGGCAGTGCACGGCCACACACCGGCTGTGGCGGCTCGTATGCCCCCGGCAGTAATGCTGGTCATTAACCTGCGTATTGGGGCCGCATCAGACTGCTGCTGTGGCAGCAGCAGCAGCAGCAGCCTGCTGCTGCCTGATTCAGTCAAGCCAGCGGTGCAGCGAGGCGTGCAGAATTCGCGCGGTTTGGTACCTCCTGAGGCTGAGCGCGTTCAGACCCGGTGACCGGAGTTGGATGGTTCGATGGAGCTCGCCGAGCTCCATCGAACCATCCATGGCCGGACGGCGGAGCGTGAGGTGGCGAGCGGAGAGATGTACCGCAAGACAAGAAAAACACGGATCTGGCGGATGTCACAGAACGTCAGATCTGCCTCACCCTGGGCTGGACCTAGTCGGCAGGGATGCACGCTGTTGGGCCTGGGGGAAATAACCTCTGGCTAATCTTCTGCCGGGCCTGGGGCTAGCTGAAGCTGCCTACGAACAACACCTCTGCCACAACTCCCGCCTCCCGGCCCTCCCCGACGCGCTCGCAGCACGCCCACGGCAGCTCATCTTGGAGCACGTGGAGTGCAGTCATCGCGCGTCCGGCGGAGAGGGCGCTGTCGTCTGGGGTCCCAGCTGGGCGAAAAACACGTCTAAGGTATATAGGGACTAGAAGAAGGTGCACGCGCGCAGAGTTCTGTCTGAGCTGCTGCAGCTCCAACCCTCCATGCTCCATCCACTCGCCGAGAGCCTTCTGGTTGCGAAGCGCCTCAATGTCGCGCGAATCAATGTAGCCGTCGCTCAGACTGCTCGGCAAGATCTTTAGCGTGTCGGTGTAGGCAGCCTAGCAGTCAGGCGGTCTTGAGCAGACATCCGACAGTACCATACGCACGCAAAAAGTCCGAACCCTGGACCCCCGTGGTAATATGCATATAACCGTCGTCGAGCACATCCATGTCGACTGACACGCGCATGAGCTTCATGCACCCGCCGCCCATTGCGGCCATGCCCCCCGTTTTGCCGCCGCACTGGCCGCAAGGCTGGCATCTCGGGTGGGGTACGCTGCCGCTGCCGCAGGTGCATGCACCCACTCGACCAGCGCCGATGGCAACGCACATACATTGAGAGAGAGACCCCCTCTCCCTTTTCTCCCAGTAAGCTAAAAGTACGAACGTACATTGAGAGAGAAAATTGTTATGACACCCCCAATGAACACACCAGTGAGGGAGGGCGAGACGATCGAGGGGTCCCGTACCATGCGGAATCGACCCTACCAAGTGCTCAAGTGCTCAGAGAGAAATTGTTGGAGAGTGTGAACTCAAACCTACATCCTGACCGTAGCCTGACTGACCGTCCGTGTAACCGTCTCATGTTTGGTTTGTCCTGCCGCGCACATTGTCATCGACTTGTATCCGACTTGGTGGTTGTGGTGATGTAGCGATGGTGTGGGTCTCTAGTGACCTATACAGCTCCTCCGTGTTCCGTCTCCTGACATGGTACCGACCGGTGAGTGCACGGAGTGAGCAGTGCGGCACTGAGGCCGACATGAGAGCTGGTGCGGCACACAAGCGAGATGTGTTGCCGCACAGCATTTCCGGCTTACGCTCGATACGTTGGCTGGCACCATGGGCACCTGCGCGAGCCGTGGTGATTGGCTGGGCACAGAGGCTCGGCGCACGGTGGCACAGCGGCCGCCAACTGCTTGGCTCGGAGGCTAAGCAGAATGAGTACAACCGCAACATCAACTTGGGTGCTTGCGGATCTTCTGCGACAGAGCGCATCTCCGCCAGCACTGCGGCTGGGTGGACACGAGTATCTCCTCTTACTTCTCCTTACCGGTCCGTTCTCCTCGCCTACGGACCACCATCGCAGCTGCTGCCTCCGCTACCAGCTCTCGGGCTGCTGCAACGGCAGTTACCGCAAGGACCTCGCACTGAATGTGGACCCTGCCTTTCGCCGCCGCTACTTCCGACGTCGCCACTCGACACGACCGGAGTTGTACGCGATGAACACGCGACGATCGACACGCCCTCTCTGCCTTGCGTGGCGATTACCACGTCGTGGGGGAGTGTTGGGCATCTGTTCGACGTGGCAATGCCACTCTACCTCATTGCTGTCTCTTCCTCGTCTCGCCTCCTCGCGCTAGCCCGTTCCGCTGTCCAACGCCTCTGGCAAGAAGTCCAATGCGCCTCTACGAGCGTCTCAGCCGTCTGGACGCCTGAGTCTGAGCCTGCCATCTCCGACGCCTTCGCCATCGATGCACCCGTCCTCGGAACCTCCGTCCCCGAGGTCTTCGATGCACTCGACACCACCCTGCTTAAGATCTTCGACGAGTATTCCACTCCGACTGACGACGATTTCTTGCTCTGGCATGCCCGCTTGGGCCACTTCAGCAGAGACAGGGTGGTTGGTGCACTCCGCTACAAAGGTTACGCTTTTCGCCCTGGCAGTGATCGTTGCATCTGCGACGCGTGTCTCCTCAATCGTCGCCGCAAGGGCCATCCGAGTCACCCAACCAACCGTCGCGTCTACACGTACTTTGGTGAGCGAGTCGCGTCCGACCTCAATGGCCCCATCAAGCTTCTGCCCTGGAGCGTTCACAAGTTCGTGTACGCCATCAACTTCGTCGATTACTTCTCCGGCGTCATCGCCGTCTACTTCCTGGAGAAGGGCGATTCCGCCGAAATCCTTGGCGCAGTCCGTGCTTTCCTCCGTGACCATGCTCATCTCCTCACCAAGACGCGCAGACCTGGCATCATCGACGAGTGGCTCACCGACAACGCCAGCTACTTCACGTCCGAGCTGATCGACGAACTTTGCACCGTCCTCGCCATCCAGCACTTTTTCTCTTCTCCCGACATCCACGAGGGGAACGCCGTCGCCGAGCGCTGCTGGGGGACTCTCCTCAAATGCACGCGCACCGCTCTCGTTCATGCTGGGGGGGACAAGGAGTACGTTCAGTTCTGGCCCTTCCTCTTCAACCAGTTCGCCCGCGTCCACAACTTGCTGCAGACGAACAGGGGGACCAGCGCTGAGCCTCGGTGGCTGTCACCGATGCAGATCGCCATCGGCTACCCTCGCGAGTACAGCCTCGAACGCTTCAAGGTCATGCTCTGCGACTGCACCTGCGTCCTCCCCGAGTCGCTTCGCGGGCACAACCTTACCCCCGCTCGTCTCAAGGGCATCAACCTCGGCCACGACCCTCGACGCTCCAAGCACCTCGTCTACATCCCCGCCGTCCGGCGCATCATCTACACAGCCGATGTCTCCTTCGACGAGCTCTCCTTCACCGTCCTCGGCGGCCCGTGGCGCAACATCAACGTTCGGGACATTGAAGATCGTCCTCACGTTCCTGATGCGCTCATCCACGTCAACGCGGCGAGGCTTCCCAACGGCCCAATCGCTGCGCAGCAAGGGGGCGCCCCCGCTGCCGCTCCCGCGCCCGCCGCTCCCGCCGCGCCCGCTCAAGCCGCCCCGCGACGCTCAGCCCGGATTGCAGCTCGCGGCGCGCCATGACCGAGCTCCACAACGAGCTCTTGTTCATTATCTCCCCTTTCTCTCTCTCCGCCCACTCGGCCGCGCTTTGACCCCTTCACTGGATCATCTTAGCGCGCAAGTCTTGCCAACAAGCAAGACCATCCTTCGCGAAGACGCAAGGTTGGACGCTTAGCCAGCCCCGCGAGACGCCGGCGGGTAACCGGCATACCTACGCTCAGACACATTCACACTCTGCTGTTGTTGTCTGCCGCATCCTCATTCATGAAGACTGCGGAGACAATGGGGGAGTGTTGGAGAGTGTGAACTCAAACCTACATCCTGACCGTAGCCTGACTGACCGTCCGTGTAACCGTCTCATGTTTGGTTTGTCCTGCCGCGCACATTGTCATCGACTTGTATCCGACTTGGTGGTTGTGGTGATGTAGCGATGGTGTGGGTCTCTAGTGACCTATACAGCTCCTCCGTGTTCCGTCTCCTGACAGAAATGAAAGCCTCTCACTGATCTCACGCCGGACACAAACTCGGCTGTCCTGCCACGTCTCTCGGGACAGATGGCTTTGCCATCCTGGTGCAGCGTGGCTCGCAGCGGCGAGGAGTGCAACACGCTCGGCTGCAAGAAGTCTGAGCGCTGCGAGCGGTCGAGCTCCTCGCGTGACAATGGCCACCGCAAGAAACAGGGGCCTCCGGATCGCCCCTCTCGCTTCCTCGTCCTCTCCTCCCAGCGCTCCGGCACGACGGTTGTCGTCAACTAACTAACTGCAGTGACTCCTTGCGCCTGCCTACAGCGTCTCTTTTGCAATCTGCAGGCGTTCAGTAGTAGTAGCAAGCAACTTTAATTCCAAGATCGGATCCCTATCACGCCCACGCGACTAGCGATCCGCAGGCGTTCATGAGCGGCCTTGCGCGCCTCTCGGGCTGCCTGCGGACTAGCGTAAACGAGCCTTTGTACCGCGTTGGGAGGAGATGCCGCGAGACGTCGCTCTTCTCTACGTGCGCCGAGCCCCTCCTCGCGCGAGCCTTCGCGGCGATGGGGTCGAGGTGCCGAGTTGCAGAGAGCG